TATATATATCAATAATGATGGTGAAAATGCGACTCCCGGGCATAATTATAAATGGAATGAATAAAGCGCATTCACCAGGAGAGTTTAAAGTTAAAATACTTTAATTAAAGTATTTTACTATATTAAAAGGTTGCCAAGCTTTCGTTGGGAAAACTCCCCAACATCTTCAGGGCTGAGAGACCGTTTCTAACAAGGTGATTCAAACGGGTTCCATAGACGTCTGTGCGTGGTTCCTAGACTGTGCTAGCATTCCCTGCTGAACAGCTGATAGGTGGGAGGGGGGAATCGGAGTAAAGAAAAGTAAAGTAAAGTAAAAAGTAAAGTAAAGTGAAATCTTTACTCTGATTCCCCCCTCCCACCTATCAGCTGTTCAGCAGGGAATGCTAGCACAGTCTAGGAACCACGTGCAGACGTCTATGGAACCCGTTTGAATCACCTTGTTAGAAACGGTCTCTCAGCCCTGAAGATGTTGGGAAGTTTTCCCAACGAAAGCTTGGCAACCTTTTAATATAGTAAAATACTTTAATTAAAGTATTTTAACTTTAAACTCTCCTGGTGAACGCGCTTTATTCATTCCATATATATATATATATATATATATATATATATATATATATATATATATATATATATATATGTATGTATGTATGTATGTATGTATGTATGTATGTATGTATGTATATATATATGTATATGTATATATATGTATGTATATATATATATATATATATGTGTGTGTGTGTGTGTGTGTGTGTGTGTGTGTGTGTGTGTGTGTGTATATGCAGATGATCTTGGTGTATTCAGGTCTTTTCCCGTGTAAGATTAAGAGTATCTTGGCGACGTTTCGACGAGGTCCCACTTGTCATCTTCAGGCTGGGTCTTCGGCTTCATGCTTGTGCGAGCAAAATGTGATCGGAGCTGCTGTCTCTCTATATATGTTGGTGGGGGTGTGTGGAGTGCTGGTTTAATTGCTGTAGGTGGATTGGTTGGCTGTGTAGGAGCTATTGTTTGTGGATTGTTTGGCTGTTTTGTAACATCCTGACTAGTTGAGGTGCTGGCTGTGTGCCTGTCGCCAAGATACTCCCAATCTTACATGGGAAAAGATCCAAATACACCAAGACCTGCATACCTATACCCATGAAAATCTACGAAAGCAAATATATATACACACATACCATTACTAAAAGAGAAAGAAAGAGAGAGAAAAAGAACGAGAGAGATTAAACTACATTTCAGTGAATTATAGATGTATTTTGTCATTTTGCTAAATAGATGCACAGCTATTGAATCATGGAAAAATAGGAAAAATATAACATATGAAAAGTAAAAATAAAGTTTCTTTTGTTATGAACTAGACTGCTAATAAGTTTCATGGATGCCACTAAGCTAGGCAAAATACCTAACATATACGGAAATACTAAAAATGAGGTTATTGCTGAGGTTATTTATGAGTTTCTGACAATAGATATATGCATTTATGCAGACATAAACAAGAATGTTTAAGCAGTATAAAAATTAACAGCTTGATTCTAGCCTACATCACAATAAATCTGTCTTCCATGTGCTAAAGGCTCATTTTTATAGCTTACATTTTCTGTATAAATGAGGGTCAAACCTAGGTTACATTAAATATGTAGCACGCAGCTGAACCTTGAAGGAGATACTGTAGTTATAAGAGAAAAGATGTATAATAATAACACATAAAATAATTCTCAATGCTGAGAAAAATACAAATAGAAATGGCATTCCATCGGTTGGGAAGATTTCGAATACTACAAAAGAGAATGAAAATATTGGTGAAAAAAAGCTTGACAGCCGAAGACTTAAATCAGAGGTCCCTAACCTTTGGGGCACCAGGGACCGGTTACGTGGAGAGAGGTTTTCCCGCGGACCGGAGGGGGCGTAGTTTTGTGTGCTGCCTGCACCCTGCAGATGGGGTTTTGCTTGTTTGTGTGGCCCAGTTACTGGCATGCCGCGGCCCGGTACGGGTCCACCGACCAGGGGTTGGGGACCCCTGATCTAAATAATTCAGAAGGGAGCAATGAGTCATTGGCCAAAGAATAAACCCCAACGGACCATGCCATACCACCTTCAGAATTACAGTTGCAAGAGAAGCTTCAGAATGGAACCCATCTTGACTGGCAAAGCTTTGTCTTTGTGTTATCAGTTAGCGTAGCACGAAGAAAAATGAATGGCTTCAGTCCCTTCCCCTAAATCAATTGTCTAGGTGTGTGACCTTTGCTTGAATAAATCAAATTGCACTGTAATTTTAACTTGATAATGTTGCCAGAATGAGAACACGGATGGAGAATTGGACAGTTCATAAGAAATTTAGCAGTTCACTGGCTGGTCAGCTATTGGGACAGGCATTGTGAGATTATAGTCACGGTCACTGTTTGGAATGAGTTTTAAATTTTGATTATAACTATTTGTAGATACGGTATGTAAAAGGAGGGGAGTATATTAGTTTTTTGATGTATTTTTCAGGATTCAGTCAATTTTTAAAAAATGTTTAATGTTAGATATATTTGGTATTTGGGTTTTTTTTATACACATGGTTTTCCTCTTTTTGTTTGTTAGCGTTGGATAGTTGTTAGTCTTTTTTTTTCCTTTTCTGTGTTCTATTTGCTGATAAAAAATAAATAAACATGTTTGAAAAGATGGAATGAGTTTTGAATTGCAGCCACAAAATTATTTCCTTGTCTGTCTGTCTGTCCGTCCGTCCGTCCGTCCGTCCGTCCGTCCGTCCATCCATCCATCCATCTATCTATCTATCTATCTATCTATCTATCTATCTATCTATCTATCTATCTATCATCTATCTACCTATTATTAATCTACTTCTATCATCTATCTATCTGTCTTTCATCTATTGATCACATCTATCATCTAGGTATCTATCTATCTATCTATCTATCATCTATCTACCTATTATTAATCTATTTCTATCATCTATAAGTCTATCATCTATTGATCACATCTATCATCTATGTATCTACGTATCTATTTATCTATGTATCTATCGATCTAACATCTATCTGTCTAGCATCTTTAAGAAAGTAATCTAAGGTGTAAGATTTTCATCCTTTGGATTTTTTTTTTTCAGAAATGAAAAAAATGCACAATTGTAGAATTAGTGACTACACAGGTTAGGCTCCTATTCAGATGTTCTTTGCATTTATTAAATAAATAATAAATAAATGTTCAAACATTGAATGAAGTTCTCTCTCTCCATGTCACTCACTCACTCACACATACACACACACACCCCTACAAACTTCATCCACAAAGCTTCTTCTCCACATTCCATACCATCTGTCAAGGGCTAATGAGTTTCTGCATAATCGTGGCACTTTGCGATACAGTTATCTTTAGAAACATCATAAAGAGATTTCTTTTTCAAAAGTGACAAAAGGTTGGTTCCACAGCCCTAAAATATCTGTAACAGAATATTAGTCTGCTATGCTGGAATAATGTTCCCAGAACTGCCATATAACAGCTCAGTTTGTGGCATTAAATTCCATGCAACAGTTGGTGTGCACAGTAGTCTTGGTGTTTAAAAAGCATTAAAGCCTGTTTCCAATGAACAACTTTTACCAAGGCGAGCCAAATTGATGTTCCCAAGACTCAACTGAAAACTGTGGAAGATATGAGAATCTGTTGTGTGATTGCTCAAGACAATGTACAATGTGAAACTGTGACACTGTACAACTCCCTGTGTGCAGATAATATTAATTCTTCCGAAGAAAAGAAATAAAACTGACAACATTTTGCAATGTTCCCCATTAAAGCCACATGGCTATCACCGAAACTAGATGTTATGTTACAGTCCCATAATTCTATGTGATCAGCTGGACAGAAATATCTGTCCTCAAATATCTGTTAAGAAATTAAGCCAATAAACAACAATGCTAAATTCAGGTGTGCTCTTAGTGGCTTAGGTCTTCATGCTGGACCCTAAATCACACTTTACAAGTTGCATAGGTTGGCTTCACACAATGATGACAAGAACATTGAACAAAGCACATATTAGCATAGTGAATATTCCAGAACTTTTCAACTGGGTAAATTAACGGGTGAGTTTAAACAGATTAATTGGGAAACGTACCACCCTCCCCCCAAAATATGCCTTTCTGTATCTAAAAACTGAACCATGGGGGTGTGAACTGATGCTTATTAATTTAAAAACAATCTCCATCTAACATAAGTTTAACTTCAGAGGAAGCTTGCTTAAAATGTTTGCTTTTGTTTTAAATTCCACAAAATTATCTGATAATTCTGCTTGCAGCCTTTCACTGCTGTGTCAATTAAAACTACAAAATGGTTACTTCAACGCTCACAGTTTGTATGCCATGAATTCATTACAAGTATTAAAAGCTTGCATTTTCTATTTTTATTCTATTTCATTCAAGGAACATAATAGATAGGTATATTATCTGTGAGCCATGATGGCACAGTGGTTAGAATGCAGTATTGCAGGCTGACTCTGCCCACAGCCTGGAGTTCAACCCTCACTGGCTCAAGATTGACACAGCCTTCCATCCTTCTGAGGTCAGTAAAATGAGGACCCAGAATGTTAGGGGCGATAGGCTGACTCTGTAAATTGCTTAGAGACGTCTACAAAGAACTATGAAGCAATATATGTCTAAGTGCTATTGTTATTGCTATATTATAGAATATACAAGGACTAATAACTGGGCATTATTAGCCAAGAGTTTTGATCAACTCTTTAAATTTTATGCAACTCTTCATGCCTGACCGAGATTTTAAATCAGATACAATAATAGAAAGAGAAGAATTTTTAAAGAGAAATAGGTCAAACAATTGTAAAGAAAAATCTATTGGGGATAAAAAAGGTAATAACCCATCACTTGCTTTTCTAATTAAACCGCTTGGGAATAAAAGCTTCATACAACATGTGGAATGTTCTTGCAGATATTCTAGCATGCCCAAATCTCTAAGTCTCTCCCAGTTGCTATTCTCAATCCCCCCCTACTCACTTGCCATTTAAAGCTGCCACCCCAACGGTGCTTCTGGCAATGGACATATTGGCCACAAAGGTCCACTGTTGACTTTGTGGGTCCCACCTCTCGACTGTATTCAAATAGCTCCAGCCATCATGACCTCCTACTGCATAAATGGGCCCTTCAAGAACAGTAACTCCTAAAAAGAAGAGGCAGAGAAAGAACGTGAGAACAGACCAGCAATGGAAGGAAAGATTTCTAAAGGCTAATGTGAGGTCCTTGGTGCTCTCTGAGCTTGACTGTTTTCTTGCAGACATTTCATCACCCAAATGAGGTAACATCATCAAGGCTAATGAGAAATGCAAAATATATCATGGGCCAATGTGGAGGGCCATGAAGTACTGGCCAGGTCCTACTAACATGAAGATCCTAATGAGGGGACATCTTAATTGCACAGTCTGTCTAGGTAGCTGTGAAGAAACCTGTATCATTTCTTCACAGGGGTTGGAAATCTTTCTCTTGTGGTTTTTTTTTTTTTTGGTTATTTATGCAGTTGCTTGTTTCCCATAATTGATTTTAGGGGGCAGTGCTCATATCTGATTCTAGGGCATTGAACCAGAGCTGTCTGAAGATGTTTCTGTGGTCATGTGGCCAACATGACATTGCAGCGAAGCACAAAGCATACAACGAAACACGGAACACTGTGATCTTCCCACCAGAGTGGTACCTATTAATCTACTTGCATTTACAGGCTTCCTAACTGGTAGGTAGGCAGGAGTTGAGGCAGGTGACAGGAGCTCACTCCATCGCACAGTAGGAGGATTTGAACCACCAGAGAACAGACTTTCTCCAGAGTGTTTTAAACTACTGACCCACCACACCTTTACCATGATAGGGGACAGGATAAATATTCTGAATGGGGCTAGGATTCATTTAACTTTTATTTGCACTCTGCTGCTTCAATGAGTTGGTTTGTGGAGACTTGGCATGTCCAACATGTGCAATTTTCACCTTTTTTTAAAAAAAAGAAAGAAAAAGAAAAGTGATTCTGAAAATACCAGTTCTGCTGGTGCAAAGATTGCCCACAGAGATTCATAAAAAGTATTCCTGAATATTCCTATATGCTTTAGATTTTGTTTGCTAGTTATTTTTATTAATGGTTTGCTTTCTTTTTAGCATTTGCTAGAGACCCCAGAGAAGGCCACAAGGGTGAAGCAGATCTCCTTATTCCCAAGACTGAAGTACCTGACCCAACATTTTTGAGCTTGACTTAAATATATTCTTTCATTCTTCCTGAAAGTTCTCTAATTTGCCTATAATAGCTTTATCCAAGGGCAGAATGGCCTCAAGACATCTTATATGCCATGGGTATATAAAAATACTACATACAAATACTGCTGATCTTTCCTTCTGAGGATTTGAAAGAAGAAGGCCTCACAATGACCCAGAATTGCAAAGAAGGAAGAAGTCAAATATTAAATCTTTCCTTTCTGAAATTTTGCCAACGTGTCAGCAGTGGGGCAGAAGGAGGGGTGGAAGGACACGGAGAGATAAGTGCTCCGTATAGTCACAACTGGGGCAGAAAGCCGGACTGTTCTCTTCTGCTGTGCATTTCCAACATCTGGATATGAACATCAAAAATACATTCAACTCTCCCGGCTCATAACATTTGGATGGTTTATCCTGCTTTTCCAAGGCCACCAAAATCAACCTCAATGGAATAGTTGTAAAGCAGGTGTCAATGTTGCATCTCCCATGCAGCTTCTCTGTCACAGTAGACCACATGTCAGCTAAATGACAGCTTTTCATGCTCTGCTATTGCTCACAGGGGGACCATTAGATCTGCAGACAAAATGAACCCAGAAACTATATGGCTTATTTTCAGACTTCAGATCTCTTAATCATCTTATGGAATTCTAAGCTTTATGCTGTTAATGGAACACATCCTTTTAAGGGGCTCTTATAATTTGTTGAGATAACTGAAGATGAATACTTCTCAGGCAGAACAGAAGGATAAGAGAGATAACTATTCCAAATGAACCTAAAGCTAAAATATTTTTCCCTCCAGTGAATATTTAACTTCCTTCTTTTATACTCTGTTTAGTTCAAGCAACATCTCTCTCTCTCTCTCTCTCTCTCTCTCTCTCTCTCTCTCCCTCTCTCTCTCTCTCTCCCTCTTTCATCTATCTCTCTTTCTTTCGTGTATCCCTCCATCCATTTATCTACCTACTACCTTCTGTAGGTTCCAAACCAGCCTAAGCATGCACCATTTCTGGTTGACTTTCTGACAACAGAGCAGCCATTCTCTTATGTAAGAAGAAGCCTCTAGATAATATAAATTGGACTGTAACTTACAACCTCAGTTGGGACTAGAATTTTGGTGGCTAAGTGAAAAACATGAAAAGTATCTCAGCTTTTGGGATATTCCTGTATGTTTTAGATACCTAAAGCATAGTCATTAAGCACCTCATCACATAACTGGATCCTATTTTGCAATCATTTTTGCCATGGGCGTTAATTGAATCATTATGGTTAAGCAAGCCTGGATATGCCCCCTCCCCCCCACACAAATTGACTGGCTGGGAAGGTTGCAGATCATGATCATGTGACCGCAGGATGCTGCAACCATTTTGAAAGCAAGCTGGTTGCTAAGACTCAAATTGTGATCATGGGACACATGGGGATAATGCGATGGTTGTAAGTTCAAAGATAGGTTTTATTGTTGTTAGTTGCGAAGTCGTGTCTGACCCATCGCGACCCCATGGACAACGTTCCTCCAGGCCTTCCTATCCTCTACCATCTTCTGGAGTCCATTGAAGGTCACTCCTATTGCTTCAGTGACTCCATCCAGCCACCTCATTCTCTGTCATCCCCTTCTTCTATTGTCCTCAATCTTTCCCAGCATTAGGCTCTTCTCCAGTGAGTCCTTCCTTCTCATTAGGTGGCCAAAGTATTTGAGTTTCAAAAAGATAGGTTGCAAGTTCTTTTTTTCAGCACTATCATAACTCTGTTGTTAAATAAATGGTCATAAATTGTGAACTATCTATACAGCACTTAGGCAGCTTCCATGACAAGGTGATGTCAGAATTAAGTGAACTTTTCTTCTTTTGTCTAGGAAGAAAAGTTGTTTTTCTCCAACCTAATTCTGGTAATGTATGCACATATAACCAATACTACTCCCAGTAAACAGACAATGTGAATCTATTTGATGCTTTAAAAAAACCAACAGTATGGATGTGCAGAGAATATAATGTGAGACCCCACAAAGGCCTTTTGTTGAGAGGAAATAAGAAACAGGGGAATTGTGTTTATTTCTTTAGCTGAGGAGTCTCATTATAGGCCAGTGATGCCGAACCTTTTAGAGACCGAGTGCCCAAACTGCAACCCAAAACGCACTTATGTATTGTTGGGTGCCTGGTGGGCATGTTCCATTGGGTGGGTGTGGCCCATTGGGTGGGTGTGGCTGCAATGGTAATGGCAGACTGGGTGGGACTAAAAAGTTCAATCAATCAATTCCAACTTTGTGAGATCTTTTTTTTTCCTGCGAGAAGTTGAAATTGACGGTGCATGTGCCCACAGAGAGGGCTCTGCATATCACCTGTGGCATACGTGCCATAGGTTCACCACCACAAATCTCCAAAATGTTACTTTCCATGAATTCTTTTGAATCCATTTTTTAAAAAAGGGCTGCATTTGTATTACTAGCACGTATAAAGGAATATTTGATTTTGGTGTCCTTTTTAACTTAAAAGAAATGAATCTCAGGTAAAAATGTAAATGCATTTTGATTGTCAATAGAAATGCATCAGAACTAGATAATTGATCTTTTTTCTCCCTTTCTCTTTCTCTCTCATACACACACACACACACACACACAAAGACACAGAGACATACACACTCACATACACACACTCAGGAAAAGTTCGTTAATGGCAGCTGAATGTTTCTGTGATTTGAGAAAAGCAATATATTTTTTTAATAAATATGGGACCCTCAGGGCACGGAAAATAAATTGAAAAAGTACCATCATTACTTAGAAAGTAATAAAACTGTGGAAGGTGTATGTAAAAATCATAAACTCTTTCAAATATACTAACCCATTTTTGTTACACATCCTTGGACCTGATCAACTGGACATTTAGCTTTACTGCACTGTTTTATACAAGGTATAAAATCTAGAAATTGAAGGGATACTTAGGATGTGAGTCTATAATCTTTGATAACGTGTTCCAGAGGGCAAAAAGAGAAGGACTCCTTCCACAAAACTCTGCTTTGGGATGGAGAGATCCAATCGCATGGGCTATCTTTTTTAATGCCACAGTTTTGATGGTTGCTGTCTCTTTGATAAATGATTTCAAATGATTAGAGCTAAAAGAGAAAGAAGGTATTGTACATGTTTAGACTCAACAGAATCCAAAACGACTTCTGAAAATACTGCAAGGGCACTCTAAATATTTTAGTTTATTCAGAGACCAAAGATAAATATAATATAGACATTTAAAGTTATTTAACTTGAGGGGTGCTTGCCGCTTCTGAGCTTGGTTGTTTTCTTGCAGACATTTCATTACTTAAATTAAGTATGATCATCAGGGCTAGTGATAGGTGACATGACTAGCACAGATGTTGTTATCTAGTTTGGGTGATGAAATGTCCTGAAAACAACCAAGTTCAAAGAGCACCAAGGACCCCTCATTTCAACCCTGAGCTACTAATATTCTCCTTTATTTAGTTATTTAATTACTACTTTCCTAAACAGAAAGGTCTTTAACAGTTTCTGGAAAATTATGAATAAAACAAATAAGGCAGAAACAGATAGGTTCTGCCACCAAAAAGGATTTCATGGGGATGCATCTCAAGATGTTGTGATATAAGCGTAGGTCTTTATGCATTGGTTCAGATATCCTGGAATCAGAGGGTTTTTGGGGTTATGATTCAGAAACAATTGGGAACACAACTCATATGGGCAATAAGAACGTTGCATTCTGGAGTAATTAAAATTTCTAATTCAGATGTATTATAATTATGCTATCTACCACTGTGGCTACAACTGCATTCTCCAACAATAGATGCAATTGGCACATCAACCTCCATTAAAAAGACCCTCCTGGACACAGTTAAAAGTAGGAATTCAAATTGATCATTGAGTTTAGAAGAGTATCCAATCACTAAGATTTTGTGTTTATGGGTGTCTAGTTTCACTCATCAGTAGGATTAGATTTAATGTATTGAACTTCCCATTCCCCCCTTCCCAAAATGATTCTATTTATAAATAATGATTGAAAACCTGCACAACTTTTCTGGAATTGCATATTAGGGCAAGCAGAGCTTAATCTTATAGGAGTTAGTGATACCAAACTCCAACGCTTAAATTTACCTCCTATAATTGTTGCACGTTGATGTTGAACGTCATGAGAATGGAGCCATAAAAAGGCAAACAAGCAAGTATCCAATCATCCAGAAAGCACTGAAACCACCACTATTGTATGTGCATGAATTGAGAAGAGGGGGGAAGAGAGAGATGACATAAGGATAGATTCCACAGTGCACTCAAGCCAGATCTTTGCATTAAATAAGACAGCAGCAATACGTCAGGAAATATCTATGGTGACACTACAGTTCTGTATACATCAGATCAAAACTAAGTTCTGTTAAGTGGGGCTCAAATTCACACAAGTGAAGTTGGACTGAATCCTCACTTAAGATACAACAGCACAACATTTATGTAGCCCCTTTATTTTGGCAAGGATGGATGATAAATGCCATCAGACAATCTTTGAACTATCACTCCTATTAGAAGACATCCTGTCTCCCTAGTGAAAATAAAAACCTTAGAATATGTCTTCTTGAAGTCTAGATTGTACAAGGAATGCAAGGCTTAATGTAGACTACCCTGCCATTTATACCAATTGTATTTAGAATTTCTCCTCAAATATAAGCATCCTGTAATCAGCAATGCAAGGACTAAATCCTGTGCCCAAGCAAGAAGACTCACTTATGTCAGATCCAACATACAGACGAGGTTGTTTACTGAAATGGTAAAATTCTGTGGCATTTTAAAATTGCATTAGGTTGTTTTAACTTTTATGATTGACCTTAAATAATAAATGTTAGTTGGTGTGTTTCTGTATTCATTCTCCCTTCTGGTCTAAAGACTGCTTTAACAAATAGTTTTAAATTATTGCCATGGGAAATTGGAAAATATTTTCCTGTCTCTAGATATAAGATGCCGGAAATCTTCTCTCTCTATTTTTTTTTTTTTAAGTACACATCCTATATTTAGCATTTGGGTGGTACACACCATAATCCCAAATCCAATTTTCTCTATCATGTATATTCTTGTGTCCTAGCTAGTGCAAAATAATCAGTCTCATGAAATAACTAAGATATGTGTTTATTTTTTCTTGGTTAAAGTTCACAATCTGTAACAGCTGAGTCAGCATAATGAACAAGGACTACACTCACACTTCAGATGGAGAACATTGCTGAACTTTAAAGAAATTGCTGATGAAAACAGAAAAGATTAGACCACTGCCCTGTAATTTAATCCACTGCAAACATTGACATACCTCTTGTTAAACTGCTCTAGACGATGAATAAAAAAATATAAAAGAAAAGAAATAAGAATGTGGGTAATGATAATTACACCTTGATTTAAAATGCAATGAAAATTCATCTAGTACAATACAAAGGTTATCCATTGCTGTTTTCATTGAAGTAGACTTACAAGGGGAAGAAATTTATGAGAAAGACCAAGGATTTTTTTCCCATAGTTATTCTGGAAGATTAACTATGCTTTAATTCATACTTACATGACTGCAGAGAAAACAGTGCAAAACTATGTGACCTTAATCATTATTGATCTCAATGTGTCGTATATTCAGCTTAATGCTATGCCTTTCAAAATTGCAGTCATTAAAAAGTACTGCACAATGAATTGGCTACAGTCCTATGTACAGTCCTTCAGATCTGTCACTGTCATCTTGGAAAAGCTTTCAAATCTCGACCACTAGAAAACAGCTGTCATGCATTCAAACTGAACTGTCTTGATTACGTCTGAAGTGTTTTGAGCTTGAAAAAAAAAAAATCTCTCCTTGGCATCTGAAACACTGCGTTTCAAACCCAAAGTGATTCCAGAATTATTGAAACAGCATGTTCCAAGTTCAGGGCAGAGCATTTAAAATTTTAAACATTTGCTCTGTCTCTCTAACCAGGCAAGCTCTCTGTTTAAAAGATCTCTAGCATCTATGTAAATCAAAACACGGCCATCTGTTACTATTACCTTGAAGTTCTTTTTATTAGTGATACATCAAGTTCCCTATATTTCTCTTGGCTCATCAATTCTGACATCTACTAGCTGACAAGAATAAAGTGTCATCCATAGAGAAGCAACTATTCTCGTTTAAGCTTGTAATCTGGAAAAGTTAGCGAGAATAATCCTGCTACCGCCATCTTTTTAGTTCTTATGTTAGCTGCTTTTAAGGAAAGGATAAAAATGCATTATAATACAGAAGGCATGAAAAACTGAGAGAGGAAGCCAAAGGTTTAATGTCTTTTAAACATTACTTTGAATTATAAAGGCAGTGGCTAAATTCATTTTGGGGGCAAGATGACGAAATACTGATCAAATTTTGATGAAAAGCGAAGACAATTAATTCTTCTTCCATTCTTTTCTCTCTTAGCTTACCATTTCATTAAAAAGTAGAGAATTTTTGTTGTTGTTCTATGCTTTAAAATCAGTGTTGACTACTTAGGTCCCAGATTAGAAAAAAGTTAGAATAGCTACTTTCTGAATATTCTTTGAAACACCTAAAGGCCCATCTGAAGAACTGGAATGAGACAGCTCACCATGGCCAACTCACCATGGCCAACTCACCATGTCCAGCTCACCATGGCCAACTCACCATGGCCAACTTGCTGCGGGACAACTCACAGTGGCCAACTTACCATGGGATAACTTGCCTCGGGATGATTCAACAAATACAAAAATTAAATTAATTTCAAAGGACTCATGGTCAATACCGTATTTTCCGGCGTATAAGACGACTTTCTAAACCCTGAAAATCTTCTCAAAAGTCCGGGGTCTTCTTATACGCCGGGTAGCTTTTCTCTGAATTTAAAACCAATCTGCCCCCTAGTGGCCAGCCCTATTTTTGTTTCTCAACCTTGACAATTTTAAGGCATGTGGACTTCAACTCCCAAATGATGTAAATGTACTATGTGGATTATAGATTATAGAAACCAATTGTTAATGATTTTTCTTTACAAATGTAAACCCAGCAAACACACTGTTTACCAACTATTAAGTGATTTATGTTTTAAAAAATCAATAAAATATATGGGGAAAAAAATACCAGCTGAGTTCAGGAAGCATTAGGGAAGCAGCGGTGGGTAACACTCGCTTTCTTACAGCAAAGGAATGGAGCTCCTATTGTGCTCATCTATAAACATAAATTCAATATTGTACCATATTTTCCGATGTATAAGACGACTTTCTAAACCCTGAAAATCTTCTCAAAAGTTGGGGGTCGTCTTATATGCCCAGTCATCTTATACGCCGGAATATACGGTAATAATAAAATAAATAAAGTCAATCCAGAATTGCAAGAGTGAATTGTCCAGCAGAAAGTTGTCCTCTGGGCAGTTGTCTGTGGAGAGTTGTCCAGTGATGAGTTGGCCAGGGTGTGCTGGCCAGGGTGATTTGGCTGCAGAAAGTTGTCCTCAACTCCTTGTAAGAAATGAAAATATTGGCTATTGTTCTTCTAGGCGAGGTTTAGGCACAAGTGAACTAAATCAGGCCTCATGGAAAAAGTATTGAACCAAAGTCTGTGCTAGGCTGTTTTACAATTCGAAGGCGCTATTTGTAATCCCAGTTGCAACTGTACTTTACTTAATATGATTTTGCTATGCTTGCTTGTTTCAAGTATATTTAGAACATAAGGACTGGAACTGTGAGAAACAGGGAACTGAAAGTAGCTGATGGGTGCGAGTTCCGATGTACACCTGGGTATGTGAAAAGTTATGATCAGCAGAGTCTGATCAGAGAGTGTAAGGTTGCTGCCTGTCTGTGGTTTAAGATGAGTTAAGGTATACAAGATGTGGCCTGGACGTGGTTCGAGGCCACTTGCCCTAGCCATCTCTATGACTGCTGGTTCAAAGCTGGTTCTTATTGCAATGGTTCTAAGTATGTACGTGAGTGCTTTGTGCTCTAAATTTCAATAAATAAACCTCTGATTCCTAAAGTGAGATGTTTCTAATGTGCTGTCTTGTGTCTTTTAATGGATTTTTGCACAACACCCTGAAGAGCAGATCAGGATTTATCTATAAGGTCACCAATCTATCCTAAACACTACTAATCTTCAGAAGACAAAGCAAGAGCTCATTTCAAATATTTTCTGTGATGAAAAGCTATGGATCTGCTTGTAATCTGAAGATTATAATAATTGTGTCTCTATATGACTGTGTCCAGTCATTAAATTATAACTACAAGTATGTTTCTTGGGGAAAAATACTAGGTGTTTATCGTTAGTTAAAAATGAAAGAAGTGTATTCTGAAGTTTATTTACAAATCATGTGATATCTTATATCCTAAAATCATAATAAAGTAGAATCAGTCAATTTCTCTTTGTGCCCTCTTGATATTTCCTACCACTATGAATAAAGTAACGGTAAGTTTACTCAATTGACTCTAACTTACATTTTCTCTAAGTTACCATATATGCCGGCATATAAGGCGACTTCCGCAAGTGTTAAAATTGGCGCCAAAGACAGGGGTCATCTTATACGCCGAGTTGTCTTATATGCCGGAAATACTGGTAGTTTCCGATGTATAAGACAACGTTCTAGGAATGCAACTCGGTGACAAAGATGGTGGTCGTCTTATACGCCGGGTCGCCTTGTACGCCAGCATATACGGTACATTAGATATGGAAGCTGCTTCAAATTTCAACATCTTTTTTATTGATGGATCAGTTTAAGAATAGAGAATAATATTCATTTTGTTTTGGCATATATATATATATTTTACCCCATTTGAAAAAGTCACCTTTCATAAAGGGAGCTCTTACCTAAGCCATGTCTGTGAGTAGACATTGGAGGCAAGACGGTCCAAGCCTTTGTTTTCGGATTATAACATTCGACCGTGTTTAATGTCTTTAAGCCATCTCGCCCTCCAATAACAAAGAGCTTGTCATCAATAACAGCCACACCAAACTGTAGCCTTCTTCCATTCATTACTCCAGCCTGGATCCATATATTGGTCCTAAGATCGTACTTCTCAATGGTTGTAGCACCTGCTGAGGGAACATCAACAATGAAATTAGTGAGAGCACAGAATGACTCACATGATTTATAGCAAAACAAAAAATTGAAAAAAAGCCTTCTTTGAAAGTAAACACCTGACCCCCCATTATTTATCAGAAAACACATTTCTTTCCATTGTAGTGAAAAACAAAAGCCCAGCAATCTTGGCAAACACACAGATCCTTGAATCCGGTTATTAAGACAGAGTGTATCTGTGTAATTCTCACAGTTCCTAAGCAGCCGTTTCAGATTTTACTTCCCTATTATTTTGGCAGGTTATCATACAGGAAGCCCAAGGGGAACAAATTAATTATTTTAAAATTCAGATGAGAGAATTCACACCTCGTTAAAACCCTTGGTTAGTACATCTGGTTTATGCTTTGGTTGGAATTTCTCCTGCTTCTAGTTGGATCCACCTATTGTGAGGGCTCAGATTTAAGAATTACTCTTCCTATATTTTCTGTCTGTTTTGCACATTTCTGTCTTTCGTATCATTCCTTACCAATGTGATGCAGAATGAAAGCTACGCCACTGAAACTTCTTTTCAGTGCAGGAATCCAAGTTAAAGCATCCTGGATAGAAGCTTCAACAACCAGCAAAGAGGGCTTGTTGTTAACTTCCTATCTATGTTAATGATCCCTTCCCTTTGAACTGCTCTCATTCTTAGAATAGAAGATTGTAAGAAGTGGTCCACCTAAACCAGTGGTTCTCAACCTGTGGGTCGGGACCCCATTTGGGGTCGAACGACCATTTCACGGGGGTCGCCAAACAATGCAGTCTGCCTTTTTTTTCCCCTTTTCCTTAGCTGTGCTACTCCCTTTTATTCTATTGGCTTTTGAAAGCCAATAGAATAGACTCTTTTGAATAGAGTCTAATTCTATTGGCTTTCCAAAGCCAATAGCAACTGTCCAGGCTGTCTCTGCCCTGCTGAGCCCACCAAAAGTCCCATTCTGCAAACGGTGCTGCACCAGTTAAGTAGTCCTTGACTTACGACCGGTTGAGTAGTCCTCGACTTACGACCGGTTGGGGGTCACGGCATTAAAAAAGTTGAGAACCACTGACCTAAATGGAAAGCTTTAACCAACAGAATACAAAACAATGCACTTCTGGTTGTTGTTGTTTTTCTTTTTTTTTAAGAAAATCTTTCTAAACAAGAAGTATTCAAAATCAGAGCGAAAGAAAGTTTGTTATTGTTTAGCATTAAATGTTTTTTAACTTATTTCTCTACCGTTATGCTGTTTCTGTAAAACAGTCTTTTAAAATAAAGGTTTTATAGAAATGAAATAGCTACTGTCCTAATCGGAAAAAACAAAACAAATAAAAGACCCATTAAACTTGGTTGAAATGAAAGTGTTTAATAGTAATAAAAGTTGTTGTGTAATTTGAATTTTATTTGAATCTGAGTCTAATAGAATAATTATAATTAACACAACCGTAGATATTTTTTTTTCTAATTTGCTCCTTAGCACAAGAAATATGAGCTAATTCTGGCATTCAATTATATTTAAATGCTTTTTTCCCATAGATGTTAATTCAGAACAAGAACTTATACAAACGAATTAATCCTCTAATTAGACTGAGTTAAATGCAACATTCTTCGTATCGTATTACCAAGTGGATTGCTCGAAAATATCATGGACTTTGCCAATTTACCGAAGTCATTGTTTGAATTGTGGTATCCCAAACCAAAACTGTAACTTTGTAGTTGTAACTTGGCTAATACATTTAAAAAGTGTTAGAACTAATTTTGCAATAGAACTCGGCACAAAATCTTTTAGAAACTGATTTATAACTATTTATGGGTCACATGGCATGTTCCTTCTAACTCACTGTACTGGAAGACAAAATGTTTTGTTTTTTTTTAAGAGTAAACAATGACATACCCAACGGCTATCTTTGGCTGTTTGTATACTCATGTCTTAATTTGTATTTGGCAAGAGGTAATTTTTTTCATTGGAGATTTGATTTCAGGCAAGCAGTCTGATCTGTTCAACATTACTTAGTGCTGCCTGTCACACATCTTCCTGTAAACTATTTTTAATGTAAGTCTATAACCATTAAATTTTACGTAAGTTCAAAGAGAACTGGAAATTTCTATTTTAGAACCATTGGGTTAAAGAAAGGATTCCTAAAATAATATTTTGTAAAAGTAGATCGGATTAGAAAATGTGTCTCTATGGAACTGTAATTAATTATACACTTCTATGCTACAGATAAACAGTTTATGAGATTTTACATATTTAACAATGAGTTCGGTCTTAATTCTTTGCATTGCTGTCACCAAATTATCAACTGTTTTCCTAAGGTAGAACTCTATCGCTTAGAGACTCCATAATATAAGCTACTATATTTCATTGCCTGATATTTGACCATGGAATAAGCCACATGCCAGGTTTATTTTCAATGAAAAGTTTAAATAAGAATCAACTGCTACAAGTATGTGTGTGTGTGGGGGGAGATGTTGGATAAATATTCTTATACTTTCTGCTGCCTATGTTATTTTCTGCCTTCTAATGGAATTCTCCTTGATATCTGTGTCAATAACCCAGTTCAATAACATTTGTTCCACTTCAATAGATTTATTTTTTTTTATCTCAATACATACAGTTGCAGGCCAAGGTCATTAGCTTACACCTATTTGAAGCAACATCACTAAATCTTGAGCAAGTGGTCAAGGTCTATGTCAGCAGCAGCTTTATCAAGAGCAAAATCAGCCCAAAGAGGAAAAATGATAAGCAGGTTTACTGCAATAACAAAATAACCTCAAAGAGGATTTAACATTAACATATTTCTGTAACTTTGGGTTCTGTCTTAGTCATACTAAGTTAATCAGGTCTGGTTTAAGTTCCACTGTGAATATCTCATAGGTCAGTGATGGCGAACCTTTTAGAGACCGAGTGCCCAAACTGCAACCCAAAACCCACTTATTTATTGCAAAGTGCCAACATGGCAATTTAATCTGAATACTGAGGTTTTAGTTTTAAAAAAACAACTCATACATTAACATCTTTTGTCTTAAAAGAAAAACACAGTAACAAAGCTTTCAATGATACAAACAACTTTTTACTGCATTTGGCATGCTTTTGAACAATTAATGTGATTTTTGCTTTTTGTATGCATGCTGATAATTTGTCTAACCTTGGCTTATACTTTGTAACTTTGAAAGCAACATATGCAGCACTCAGGTCATCTGTTAATCTGTTTCTGGTGTCAGATTTGATATAATTCAAAGCTGAAAACAGCGTGCTCATTCCAAAGGCTTGTTTTGGCTAGGAAGGCCTTGAGAAATGGCTTTTTCCTGCAAAAACTTAGTCAAAGAGCGAGGCGCGCATGCCCACAGAGAGGGCCCTGAGTGCTCCCTCTGGCATGCATGCCGTAGGTTCGCCACCACTGTCATATGTTCTTCTTTCCTTAAATTAAAATATGACAGTATTAATTGACTACTAACGTAATAAATTCATGTATTCTAATAATATATGAATTTAAATGCAAACTATATATATAAAAATCATATATTAAATTCATATATTATTAGAATATATATATGCTACATGTATATATCATGTTGGGGGCATGATGGCTCAATGGTTAAAGACATTGAGCTTATCAGCTGGGAAGCTGACAGCCAGAGTTTGAAATCTGAGTCTGTGTAATGGGTAACCTCCAGTGGTGGGATTCAGTCGGTTCACACCAGTTCGGCAGAACCAGTAGCTAATTTTTTGTTGCCCAGGCCCAGAATGGACTTCCAGAAGCGGCATCCACACAGAGAACCAGTTGTTCACATGTTTGAATCCCACCACTGGTAAGCTCCCATCCTTGCCCCAGCTCCTGCCTACCTAGCAATTCAAAAGCATGCAAATGCGAATAGATCAATAGTACCATTTCAGTGGGAAGGTAACAGCATTCTGTCCCCTCAGCATATAGTCATGCTGGCCACATGTTCATGGAAATGTCTTTGGACAACACTGGCTCCCTTGCCTAAGCAATGGAGATGAACATCGCCCTCTAGAGTCAGACACAACTGGGCAGGGGAAACCTTTACTTTTATATATCATGTAGCTAGGTATTTCCCCTTCATGGATTACTGCCTTGTCATGGCGAAGGGGCTTGCGTAATTCAAGGAAGCTATGAGCTATGCTATGCAGGGCCACCCAAGACGGATAGGTCATAGCGGAGAGTTCTGACAAAATGTGATCCACTGGAGAAGGAAATGGCAACCCATTCCAGTATCTCTGCCATGAAAACCCCATGGACAGTACCAAAAGGCAAAAAGATATGACACTGAAAGATGAGCCCCTCAGGTCGGAAGGTGTCCAATATGCTACTGGGGAAGAGCAAAGAGCTAGTATTAGTAGCGCCAGAAAGAGTGAAGTGACAGGCCAAAGCCAAAAGGATGCTCAGCTGGGGATGCATCTGATGGTGAAAGGAAAGTCCGATGCTGTAAAGATCTATTCTCCATAGGAACCTGGAATGTAAGAGGTGGCTGGATGGAATCACTGAAACAGTAGGCATGAGCTTAAATGGACTCCAGAAGATGGTAGAGGACAGGAAGGCCTGGAGCAGTGGTTCTCAACCTGTGGATCGGGACCCCATTTGGGGTCGAACGACCATTTCACGGGGGTCTCCAGACAACGTAGGGTGCCATTTTTTCCCCTTTTCCTTAGCTGTGCTACTTCCTTTTATTCTATTGGCTTTTGAAAGCCAATAGAATAGACTCTCTTGAATACAGTCTAATTCTATTGGCTTTCAAAAGCCAATAGGAATTGTCCAGGCTGTCTCTGCGCTGCTGAGCCCACCAAAAATCCCATTCTGCAAACGGCGCTGCACCAGTTGAGTAGTCCTCGACTTATGACCGGTTGAGTAGTCCTCGACTTACGATGGGTTGGGGGGTCACGGCATTAAAAAGGTTGAGAACCACTGGCCTGGAGGAACATTGTCCATGAGGTCGCAATGGGTCGGACACGACTTCACAACTAACAACAACAAGCTAGGT